TCTCATCAAGTCCCAAGCTGACTTCACCTTGAATCTACCTTGTGAGTTTGCCATCCACCATGCTACATCATTCCCAAACAGTAAGCCTTACTTGGTGATGAGATATTCTCCATGATGTAATTTGTCATCTCTGTTGACAAATTTTGTAACAGTTTATGTCGATTCCACCCATCTTCTGTACTAAACTCTTTAACTTCCACTTCTTCTTCTTTTGCCCCTTCTTCAATGTGATATAAGGCTCCTTGTTTAGTCCAATTGTCAAACCAGAAGCCAGAGTTACCAGACTTAACTTGCCACTATATTTCCTGTTCTACCTCCTCTCTGACTGATGTCATTTTCCTCCACACATGTGATGTCCAATATCCTTGAGCTATAATAGGGTGGTACTTCTTGCAGTATTTGTTCCACATATAGGATGCCCATAATGAATTTGTGGAAGTTCTAAAATTCCACCAGAGCTTAGCAAAAACTGCCTTTGAGACATCATGTAATGATCTCCACCCCAAACCTCCTTCCTTTGTTGGATAACACATTTTATCCCATGCCACCCAGTGCTTGTTCTTAGCATCTGTTGTGTTAGCCCAAAATAATTTTGCAAAAATTCTATGCAACTGATTAGTGACACCAGCTGGTGGGTTCATGGCTGATAAAATATATATTGGCATAGATTGTAATACATGTGCTATCAACACATACCTGCCTCCAAAAGATAGTAGCCTGTTTTGCCAAGAGCTAATTCTCCTAATCACTTTTTTAATCAAGGCCTCAAAGTGGAATATGTTCTTCCTTCCATAGAAAATGAGGCAACCCAGATATGTGAATGGAAAAGAACCTTGCTTAATACCTGTAATTCTTCTTATTTTGCTGCAGATTCCAATTGACACCTTTTCATGCAGGTAAACTAGACTTTTGTCAAGGTTAACCATTTGTCCGGACACCTCTTCATATCCTCTCAACACCTTCATTATCTTTTTTCATGAAGTTAGGGTGTCTTGAACAAAACAATATAGTATCATCTACATAAGACAAGTTATTAATCTCTGGACTCCACTTTGGTACTCCAAATCCCTTAAAATATTGATCCATGAATAGATGGTTGAGGTTTCTAGCCAAAACCTCAACTACAATGATAAAGATGGTTGAGGTTTCTAGCCAAAACCTCAACTGCAATGATAAAGATGGTTGATGATAGTGGATCCTCTTGTTTTGCTTTTGAACTTTTCTTCAAACAAGTTTTCAAACAAACTCCATACATTCTAAACTTATCAGCTTACAAAATGTCCAGAACTATATAAAAGAGTAATAAAAATAAGAAAATTACTTAATAATGTTTTTAAATACAATTAGTTCATACATTCTAGACATTATTTGAAGAACATATTATGTCTAATTTCTAACATGTCGATCTATTCTATTGTTTGAACTAAGGCTAGCAAACGAACAAGACCGGATAAACAGGACCGGTTTTATCGGAACCGGTCCTCGTTACCGGATTTCGTTATCGAAACCGGGTCTTACCGGAACCGGTTTTACCGGAAATTTCCAAAGGTTCCGTCCAGACCCTTAGTTACCGGATTGGAACCGGTTTGGACCGGATCGGAACCGGTTCTTACCGGATCATTGTGTACCGGTAATTTTTTTTATTTTTTTATTAACTTTAATTATTATATAATATTATATTATTAATTAATAAAATTATATTATTAAAAAACTTCAATTTAAAACTTTAAACTTTAAAGTTACTTTAAAGTTTCAATTGAATTTAAGTTTAAACTTTAAACTTTAAAGTTTAAAATTGACTTTAAA